AGGCATCATCGAGGGTATCCCATGCTTCGATGAGCGCCTTCTTCAAACCTTTCGATATTTTTGCGGTTTTCCGCACATGCTCTGGCTTCAAGAAACACTCCAGACTGAGTAATCCAATGGGTTAAGATCGGGCGAGCTGGGTAACAATTGAGAAAATGAGATGAAGTCCGGGAAGGTCTTTGGAAAACAAACTCTTGCACTTTCTTTGCCTTGTGAGCTCGGCGCAACCATCTTATTGATAAGTCTACGGAATTGATTTTGAAAAGTGACGCTGGAGCCCACGGAACAACCTTCTCTTTAGAAAGTCTCAAATAATTGACCGTATTTACTTTCACACCTGGGAAGAACGAGATCAACGGGGTCTTCCATTGTGCGGTATTCCGGCAAAATCATCACCGATGCAGGATGAGAACTGCGCCTATAACGTGACATTTGGCTGAGATTTTACCCAAACTCGATCATTTTGCTTGTTGAGAATTCCTCGACGGTAAATATCTTTTCATCGGTGAACAGGATGCCGTGATGATCGATTCCATTGAACCGTTACAAAGGTGAGTCTTTTCACTCTGCCCTTCGCAGCAGCTGATAGTAATTGAGATTTGTTCTACTTGGCTTCATTTTCAGCCTTTTTCTTGATGATTGTGCTGACGGAGCTTCTTCAGACCCATTTTCTGTGCATCTCCTCGAGCCGATTAGTTAGGTTTCATCTAGACGATCGCGCACTTCTTGACATTGCCGAGTAACCGCTGTTCGTTTGAGACCTCTTCCAGGGATCAGATCCCTGATCGATCAGAAACTGTGTCGAGGGTTTCATAACGTTGGAATGGTCCGGAGAACGAGGCCCTGGGGACATCTAGGTGCTGGAGATCCTCGCCCTCGCTTCTGAACACGCTGCTGCTTCCGCTCGAGGATCGATTGTCGATGGGAATGCTTTCACCATTCCTGAAAACAACAATACTAATGGATGAAAGTTAGTACAGATGCCATGAAATAAGAAAAATACACAAAAACCATAAAAACAGGTAAGCAAAAAGTGAAATGAGGCTCATAACATAATACGGCGCTATTGGTGGTAATTTGGTCACCCTGTATATTATACAAGAAATATATAACATTTATTGATTTCAGTGCCTGTAAATCTTCTTCCTCCGCTCGACGGCACGAAACGCAACATTCACTTGTTCAATGTGATGGAAAGTGTAGTTTTCGTGAGTTCTGAGTTTTTCAGTTCAATAGGATAGAGCGAATGTTAGGTAATTAAACTTATTAAACTATTGAAAGGATTAAACAGGTAATTAAGCTACCTTAAAGATAGTTTGTTAGTCTGAAAGTTTTTAGTAGAGACGATTGCTCGGGCTTGTTCGCTATCAACAATGCCTCAAAGCTGGTCTCATTCCGAATAGTGAGTTCTTTGTTTTTCTTCGAGAAAACGCCTGACTTGGGTGCAATGAATCTTTGAGTAGGCGGTTTATTTTGCCCACGTTAGCCTCAAAACTGTTGAGTGGAAAAATGAAGTGCCTAGGTAAATTGAAAAAAGTTGCACATGTTCAGAAGCTGAAAGATAAGCTGACAATCTATTTATATCATTGATCACTTCCAACTTGAAAAAGCCGAAATTTCATTTTTAGCCGTTGCCCGGCGAGCAGGCTGTTGTTTAAGAAATGAGTCCTCGATCTCGTACTCTGTCGTGCCTCAACTCAGTCTACTCCAAGTAGTCCTGAACCAAAAGACGAAATCGAGAATGTCTTGTGCACAGCTTTTCCCAGACATGAGTTAGTAGTTTGACATGGTCTAGTATTGTCTACTTTCTTGCTTATTGTACTTACTGTTTATTCAGCACTCTGCAGGGTACTCGGCCTGCTTCGATTGAGCTCCCCTGGCTTCGTGGATCCGAATGTGGACACTCCAGTGGAAGCGCTCGTTGCAATTGAATCGTAAGTTTTAGAAGAATTGAATATTTTGAAGCTGATATGGTGTTTTCAATCGCTTGGATTAAGAAGAACCCGATGCTCAAAACTCTGTTAAACTGCTGGAAATCGGCTTTTAGCTTATCAATCCATCTTTCCTTTCAGTTTCAGTGTAATGGAGACACACATCAGAGTGTTCGACGAGTTGTTTCACTACAATCCTCGATTTGAGCTTCGAGAGATGTTCTCCGTTGTCCCAATTTTTGCTTTGTTTGCGAATACCGGCAAGTCAAAATCCTTGGTAAAGAAACTCAAACCTAGATCTGAATACACAACTTGTCCTTTTCAAAAAAAAAAAAACAGTACTGATTCTACTTATATTCTTGAAAGATGTTGTGTACCTTCTTGAGAGCTTTTTTACCCCCTTTCAAATAGCTTTCCCAAAATCCCCTTCTATCTCGCATATTTTCCTTCCTCTCTCTTCATCCATTCTCATCTCCATTCTCCTCAAAGATTTTCTAAACAGATTTAAGAAGATTTTCAGAAAATCTCCCTTTACTTGAATGTTTTCAATCAGATAATTGATTAGAGTATATGGGATGGATTAGAGATTCTCGTAGAAGATATAAGTGCTAAATAATAGATAATAGTAATAAAATCTCTTTCAAAATGATAAGTACCCTTTTTGTGTTTTAGATATTGATAGAAAATGATGAAAGATGAAAGAATCCCCTTTTCTGGTTTTAACTCTTCAGTTTCTGATCAATCACTGTAAAATTCTTCTGCAAGATGTTGATAAAAATGATAAAAGGCAAAGCTGAGGAGTTTGTTTATCTATAAGAGATTATTTGGAAAGAATTCAAGAGAGCTACCACAACAGAATTTAGGAACATTGAAAAGGCGATTAGACTGTTGAAGGGATTCAGGAGGGGTATTGAGAGAAAGATTGGCAAACTGGTAAATCGCTAAGTCTGCTGAAAGTTGGTAATCCTAGTTATATTTTGAAGGTATGGATGTGGAAAGATGTGGCGGATCTTCTTGAAAGCTCTCTTTTACCCTTTCAAATATCCTCGTTGCCTAAATCCCCTTCTTCATATTTTTCCCTTTCTTTTCCCCTGTTTTCATCTCCATTGTCTACAAGATTTTCTAATCGGATTTAAGAAAATATTTCGAGAAAATCTCTCCCTCTTTCCTTAATCCATGACAATTCACTTAGTACAAGGTCAAAAATCGCCTTCAAAACGATAAGTACCCCTTTCCGTTTTTTTTTTGCAAGATCTTGATAAAAATGATAAAAGGCAAAAAGCCGATAAGTTCTTTTTATCTATAAGAGATTATGGAAAGGATTCACAGAGAGCTGCAACAACAGAATTTCCAATATTGGAAAGGCCGAATAAGGCGCCATCTCAAAGGAAAACACATACTGGACACCCAAGGACGTCACCGATATGAAAGGAACAGGGTCCTGCTGCCCTTCTTTACAGATACAAGAGAACACGAATCTTTTTGCAAAGCCCGACTAGTCAAACAAAGAGATGAATAGCAACTTTAAACATAAACAGGGAACGGGGTTGGTCTGGTGCCTGAAGTTACCTGCTGCGAAGGGAGAAACTTCTCCCATCACAAGAAGTACATATTGCAAGGTTTGGCGCCATCTCAAAGGACTCATATATTGGGAACTCCTTCACAAGACTTTTAATGTTTTATCGTAAAGTGGTCAGCTCAAAAATCTCGATGAAGAAATCAAGGAAAAACGACTACAATTGAGAAAACTCATTCTCCTCCACGACAATAACTGACCACATACGGCAAATCTCGATCCACAATCCACGATTTGGGGTGGGAACTCCTACCGCACCCCCGTACTCTCCTCACATTGGTCCTTCAGATTATCACCTTTCGAAAAGAAACGTAAAGACTTTCTCGACAGCCCAATAGTTAAAATGGGAGCTTTAAAATTTCCCCCGAACAGTGATTGCTGTGTTTTCCTATGCAAATTAATATTTCCTTTGCCTCCCTATGTCCTTTGTAGTGCCTAGCGGTTCGGTTCTCGATTCTTAAAAGAAAACGCAGCAAATGCAATCATTTACCCTTTCCCTTTCCCTTCCATTCCCTTCCTTTCCTTTCAACTCCCACGTTCTTTATCTTTGACATTTTATTCATTTCCTTCATCAATCTAAATGGCTTAAATCCATTTACGGCAGCCCACTCGTTCTGTGCAGCCATTTTCGGTAAAATTTGACCACTGAACACCTTGTGTTTTTCTAAAGAAAATCCTACCGTAATTCTATTTGTCTGGGAAATGAAGAGAGCTATGAATCGAGATCTTGAACCCATTTCTAAGGAAAGCCAGCTCTTTGAGAGCATTTTGTGGAAAAATGTGATTCGAGAGACTCTGTGTTTATGGGGAATCGGAAATCTGTGAAATGGGGATTTGAATAGAAAAGCTGTTAAATTTAATCGTATCCATGGTTTTTAAAAACTTAAGCCTGTTTATTGTCCCAATGAGGTTAACAAATGCCTGCTTTCCAAAATGCCTACAATAGCTTTTCTCTAGTTTTTAGGAAGCATTTCAAGTTCAGAGATTTGGGATTAAGTCAGTTGAGCATGCAAATTCCAAACAAGATCCAGCTATCCATCAAATTCTCAGGCTGGTTTATCCCACGTTTTCCCGAACGCTGAACCCTCACAAAACTTGGGTCGTCAATTCTCCCGTCCCTCCTTCATGTCATCGATTATGTGAGAGGATTGGCTGAAGTCTCTCAATTACCGCCAAAAGAGCAAGTACGGTTATTTGTTATATTTCTTTAGTAGAGAGCAGAGATCGCAAACTTTTGTAATCTTAACATTCAATCCTTTCAGGTGCTTTTCTGCAAACGACAGCACCTCTTCGTTTCCCTTTCTTTTGTTCGCTTACACGTACAGGTTTGGCATTTGAAATCGTTTAATATTGTAGATTACTGTAGATAAGTGTGCTTAAATAATTATAAACTTTAAAATGTTATAAATTGAATCGTTTCAGGATTGGCAATCCGGGCAGGGTGGCTGGTTTAGGACAAGCCTTCAGTGCAGACAGTAGAGCTCTCAAAAAGTATGAGTAAGTTATAAGAAAAATGATTTTCGAGTTAAATCTGTATCTAATATATGCTTTTTCTTAGAATTGGTGACTTTTGGAGCGAATGATCAATTTGGGGCAAAATGAAGTGATCCCCGCCTTCCGGGATACTCAAATGGATGGCGGGGATTATGTTCTGTTGAAGAATATCCTCATTTTTCACTCGGGTTTTTTAAAAATCAAGATTCTAAGTCTTAAATTTTGATTTTGAACCGAAAATGATAATTTTATATTTATCTAGATCTTGGCAGAGTTTCAAAAGTTCAAGTTTTCCTTAAAGGGGGTTAATCGCGGCCGGGTGACCATAAAAATTTTTTACGGCAACCACCTGTTTTTTTATTTTAATATCGCTAATTTTATTATAAAAGAATAAAAATCACCCGGCTAGAGTGATTTGATGGGTTTACAAATTTTTGGAGACGCTGCAAGACTTGGAGAAAAACAAGATCGTCACTCATCAGACACCTCAGCACGGTCTAGATCGATTGAGTTTTAATTGCAGATAAATTTAAAAACAAAATAAAAAGCACAAAAAACAATAAAAAATAAATTGTTAATCTATAATTCTTCCTCTTGCTCACTTTCATCTTCAGTTCAAGTACAGCAGTTCCTCAAATCGGCTTCCCTATCTTATCAATTTCCAGCCCATTTTCACCAGAAGTGACTGGATCTCCTCCACCCTAGGACGTCTTCAGCGCTTTGATTGACACAATTAGATCTTTTTTCCATTTGTGGTCGATTGTGGTTTTAGTTTTCTCAAATAGGTGCCTTTTAGAAAACGCATTACTCGAGAGGAACACACTCTAGTAGATAGCTTAGGGTGTTTTGATGGCCTTTGCATTATCTAAACATAAAATCTCTATCTGGAAAAGACATCCAGAGAGGTTAAAAACCAAAAGTGTAGATCGAAAGTCTAAAGAAACCAAAAAAGAAAACACAATGTCTGACTTTTGCTTTACTTTCGCACTTACCTTGTAGATGAACTGCGCGAGCCTTGCAACGTCTCCAATAATTTGTAAACCCATAAATCACTCTAACCGGGTGATTTTTATTCTTTTATAATAAAATCAGCGATATTAAAATAAAACAAGTGGTTGCCGTAAAAATTTTTATCGTCACCCGGCCGCGATTAATACCCTCCTCCCCCCTTTAAAATCAAGATTCTAAGTCTTAAATGCAAATTTTCATTCAAAAACAATCCTTTTTATACTTATCTAGGTCTTGGCAGAGTTTCAAAAGCGCAGCTTTTTCTTTTCTTTGAACGGACAACTGTTTAGGCTGTGAATTAGCCTATTTGTTATCTAGGGTTTACCATAAAATGATCTAAATTTAAAGGATAAACCATTGTAAAATAATAGATTCAATTTGAAAAGTTATGCAAATTATATGCAAATTCTTTCAGCTCATGGCCTCTCCGAGCCGAGCGCGGCGATTGTGCGTGAAGCGCGAAAGAAATACGAATGGATGCTGTCACGAGTGAGTGAGAAAACTTTGAAAACTATTCAGAAATTGATGCAGATTGTTGCTTTCAATAAATTATATAAACTGTTTCCAGAGAATTCGTCAAAAGTCGAAGGATGATGTCGAAGCGATCTACAAAATCGCCAAGTTGATGGGCGCTGTGAAAAGTCTTGTGGTGAGCTTTAAGATTTGAAATTTATTGCAGGTTACGATAGCTTTAGAAAACGCTGGCATGGTTGGGAATGCGTTAACTGATTGTCAGCTTTGTAAAACCTTTAGAACCATTTAAAAGCTATAAATTTTCAGAAAATAATAACATAAATGCAAATCTTTTCACTACAAACATCTATTTTGTTTCAGGACCTTGGCTTCAAACGTGCTCCATACTTCTCGCGATGTGTCGCCTTGAATATTTGCGGTTTACGAGGTCGACTCCCCAGCTGATGTATATATTCTATAGAAATATCGAAATCTTATTACTATTATCTATTGAATACTTTGTCTATATTTGGCTGCTTGTACTTTGTGCTCTAGCAAATGCAAATTGCTCAAAGCAAATGCACGTTACTGGCGAACTAGATTCCGCTGGATTTTCCTTCAGAAAACCGGATTGTTACTGCAAAACCAAAGAAGAGCTCAGTGCGCCAGATAACATGCGTTTAAAAGCACAAAGTACTCGCAAAAATCTCCTATTTTCTCATCGAGCTTTTTCATACCTGTTGCTGTTGACTGAATATTTTGTACCTCTCCTTGAAATAGCAAAATATTCAGTGAAAATGAGTGATTCATTAACTCACACAGTGTACGTCTAGCATTTAACTATTGCTTTTGCTAAGAAACGCTTTACACTACTTTACTAAAAAACGTGTTGTACTCGCGTACATGAAATCGCTTGCTCGAAATCAGTCCGCCGTTTCTTTTTCTTTACAATAAAAGGTATTCAGTCTGCACTCAGCTGACAATGAGTGTACCAGAAAGGGTGTGATTGCAAATGGCAAAACTCTCACCGAAGCCAGTAAACTTGTGGTAGAATCTGTCGATGACGGTAGAGAATGCATTGAGCTGTGGCCAAGATCATGAACAAAATGCAAACACTGCCAACTAACTGAAGAATACAATAATGAATCGAAATGCAAAGTAAAACGCACAAAAGTGGCTTTAAAGGTATTCTAAATATCGTATAGAAAATGCCAAAGTAAAAAGAAAAAAGAAAATGTAAGTGAAGAAATATGGGGAGCTCGACGTGTCTCTATTGCGGAGTCGGCAAAGCGATAGCCTCTAAATCCAGGGTCTGGAATCCTGGCTGGCTGGAATCCTGGCTGGCTGGAATCCTGGCTGGCTGGAATCCTGGCTGGCTGGAATCCTGGCTGGCTGGAATCCTGGCTGGCTGGAATCCTGGCTGGCTGGAATCCTGGCTGGCTGGAATCCTGGCTGGCTGGAATTTTTTTTGCTTTAACAGATTCTCCCTGTGTCCTGGATTCAAATCTGGTTCGTTTAACCATCCGTATTCGGGGAATCTTTTCTAAAAGGTAGATCTACCTAGGTCTTTATCTACCTAAAGTAGAAACAGTTTAATGTTTGGGACAGAAAGATAGATCTCGGCGATGGATAAGATCGATAAAGATGTATCGATAAAGCTGTATGGATTGAAACTTTCACCTCTCGACTGAGACTCCTAGTCAGCAGGGCAGTCAAACTTCTGTTTGATATTATGGCTTGAATCCTCAATATTTGAATGCTCATTTCCTTAACAAGTACAACAAAATATTCACGACTTCCCATTTATTTTCTAAATTTTGATGAGAAGTGACAAAGTAACAAAGAACAAAGAGTTTTTAGGTTTCAAAAATTGTTCCCGAGTCCTCAACTTTCACCTGTTCACGAAGCCAAACAAAATTGCTTTCAATAATCATAAACCTTCTCTTCAATGAGTTCTAAAGTTGTCCAAATAAATTATGAGATTCCAAGAGTCTATATTTTGGTTTCAAATATCTTTGGAGTTTTTGGGACAGTGTTAAATTTTCTAACATTCTATGCAATTATTTCTATCTCACCGCCAAATATGAAATATTATAAGAATCATATTTTGTGGTATCAGGTAAATAAGGCTTTTTGTTATCTTTGTGCTAGTAAACATTTACTTTCTGGCTCACTGTGGTAAAAAAAGCTACGGTATTTATGTCGTAGCCGATTATAAATGAAATTTTTGGCAAATCTTTCTAGTAGAGCAACCCTTTAATGTATGAGGACAATATTATATCATCTTGTAGCGAATTCAATTCTGCGTCGATTGGTACCAAATTTGTGAGTTTAGGTTAAAAATTGCCGGCGCTACAACGTTTCATTCAAAATCGGCGGCACCCCCGTAGCCGATTATGAATGAGTGGGTCAGAGCGTCCAACCATCAAATATTTGGTATCATTCAACGCAGAATCACTAATAATTATGTTAAATTTTTAAAATTAGAAAGATTTGATAAAAGGAAAAAAATTAGAGCAAAAAACAAGGGAAAACTTTGAAGCCCCATAATTTGTGTTCTTTTATCCAATCTTTCTAATTTCAAAATTTAACATAATTATCAATGATTCTGCGTTGAATGATACTAAATACTTGATGGTTGTACGCTCCTAGACCCACTCATTCATAATCGGCTACGACATTTACAATCTACGGTATTTACAATCTACGGTATTTACAATCCTTAAACTATCGGGTACGCCAGATTGCATACGTTTATTAGGTCACAAAGAGCATGAATTGAATGAATTGATGAAAGAAATAAAGGCTTGGTCGACACTTCTTGAATTGCTTTTGCATGGCGCCTTGGCTGAGCCATATTTCCCTCTTTTAGCTGGCAGACTTTACGGCATTTTCTATACGATATTTGGAATATCTTTGAAGCTAGTTTTTGTAAGTTTTGTTTCCATTTCGATTCATTCATTCATTATTATTGTATTGGATTCCTTCATTCATTCATTCTTCAGTTAGTTGGCAGTGTTTGCATTTTGTTCATGATCATGGCCACAGCTCAATGCATTCTCTACCGTCATCGACAGATTCTACCACAAGATCACTGGCTTCGGTGAGAGTTTTGCGATTTTCAAACACACCCTTTCTTTGGTACACTCATTGTCAGCTGAGTGCTAGAAAGGCTGTACTTCCACTGTGCTTCCACTTGCCTTCAATTCTAGATTCAAAAAAGAACATGGATATTGATTGCTTGTTTTCATTATATTCTTTACACAATTTCGTTTCTTATTCTTTCCAATTAACCGATATGGAATTATCGCCGAATGCTAAAGGTTTACCTCAATTGTTGCAGGTGATTTTTCTTGAGCTAAAGTTTATAGCCAAAGTTGCCAACTTTTAACTATTATATTGGGTTGGTGAATTGAAAACTGCCGGACTTTGAACTAAAATTTATTGAACATAAAACCATGAATTGATTCGAAATAATTTCCCTTATTATTGACGACTTGTGCCCATTTTACAGGCAATTTACGGATTCCTTTTTGTAGTAGGGTTTTGGTTTGTGTGTGAGACAAGTGTGAGACTCAAAAATGGAGGACTGAAGATGGAGACTGGAGATCCCAGTTTGAGCACTTTCTTCAAAAGAAACCCATTTTGGTGTCAATAGAAAAGTTGTAGAGAATCAAAAATTAGGCTTATAGCCAAATTTCCAAAAAGATAGACTTAGTAGTTTCGCTTAAAATGCAAGTTTTGTGAAAATTAGTAAATTTGGCATTTCTTGAAAACCAGTTTTTGAATCGTTCTGAAAATTTGGATATAAGCTTGATTTCTGATTCTCTACAACTTTTCCATTGACACCAAAATGGGTTTCTTTTGAAGAAAGTGCTCAAACTGTCACATATGATAATAGCCCGCAGTTTTCTAATTCACCAACCCAATAGTACACTAACAGTACTTTCAGAAAACATTTCTAAATGACAATATGCTTACAGAAATATCCAGCGTATGAATTTGTGAGAGATCAACATGATACATGGGTTGCTTTTGGTAATCCTTTTATTCCGGGAGTTCCAAATTTCACTACAATTTATGCAATTTGTGCCTTAATTGGGCTGCTAGCGGCCGAGATTTTGGGAGCAGTGAGTCATTTTTGAGAGTAATATGTACTATGTAAAACTCTAAACTTAAGCTCGCAGCTAGATTACAGAATTCTTAGCCCAAGACAGAGACAGGACAGGCTCAAAACCTAGGCCAGGTCAATGACAATGCCAGATTTTGCTGTCTCATGGTTCTCCAGAAGCTAGGCTTGGCTCAGACTTTAGAATCCGCTTGAAAGTTGAGAGGAAATGTTGAAATATGGATGCATAGATGGTACTGTAAGCTGTACATGATTTGTACAGGCATTTTTCTTCTTTTTCCCATTCTTTATACCTTCTCGATGGCCACGTTGATCTGAGCGAGAAAACGAGGCGTTTACACAAAAAGTTATTGATGGCACTGCTGTTACAGGTTTCTTTCTCATGTTTCTCCTTTAATCACCATTTTGTTCAGATTTTTGTCCCATTTTTTACGATAGCTATTCCATGGATGTTGTACGCTTTTCTCGTGGTTACGGAAAATATTATACCACAAGGTTTGTCAATGGTTTTCACCGCCAAACGCTTGGATTGTACAATAGAATAGCTGCTCACTAGCGGAGATGTTACAGAGCCATTTTGGCCTGGCTGACCTAGCTTTACCTAGCCTAGTCCACAAAAAAGTATCCGGGTTCTAGTTTGACTCTGACCTGACCTAGCCTAACCGGTCGGGCCTAACTTAGACCGGCTTACTGACTTGGCTTAGAGCTAGAACATCCTGGTGTTGAGATAAAGAAGTATAGAGCTGGATTCTAGTGACCTGGCCTGGCTTAGTCTGGCTTTGACCTGGCCTGGCTTAGTCTGGCTTTGACCTGGCCTGGCTTAGTCTGGCTTTGACCTGGCCTGGCTTAGTCTGGCTTTGACCTGGCCTGGCTTAGTCTGGCTTTTGACCTGGCCTGGCTTAGTCTGGCTTTGACCTGGCCTGGCTTAGTCTGGCTTTGACCTGGCCTGGCTTAGTCTGGCTCATCCCTATCCTGGGGTTTGATTTGAAACTGGCAGTAAGACAATAAATAACAGAAGAGCAATTGGCCTCTAGTCTGACTTAGGATCTCTAAATTTTTCTAAATTTTTGAATAAAATAGTTGATCCAAAGAGCTTGCAGATGTCGTCAACATGGCCTTCTTCATCGACAGCTCTCATGCCACAATTTCCTCAATTTCCATTTGGATTTTCACTGAGCCATACAGAAAATTTCTTCTACGTAAATCTCGTCAAATAACTTTATGGAAAAAAAGATCGAATGTGATCATTTCCATCAGAGAATCTCATCAAAATCCTTCAGCTTTGCCTTAAATTTCATCATTTCCCGATCATGTGTCTTTTTCATTCAATTGA